CTTACCTGTTTATTCGCTTCGCTCGTTGGTCTGGGCTGGCCTGGTAGGTGCAGGAAGATGTGGCCACATGTATTATCATTCCAAGTGATGGACTGGGCCTTTGGTCATAATGGGTTTCTTGGTATTGCATGAAATCTATAACTAGTCCAATTTGCTATGTGAGTAGGTGATATCAAGCACAATTTGTAGTGGGCAAATGCCCATGTTGCTGGTAATAGCTGGCACATCAGCAAGGTGAGGGACTGTTGGAGACTAAGCTTTTCATTCCTAAACATAACTTTTCCATCAGCATGTTAAAGGGCACTCATAATCAAGTGTACTCAGTGAGCACAACATAGACAGTAGTAGAGAGTCAAGTTCAGCCTTTGGTGCAATCAGGTGGAAAAAACATGACTTTAAAGGATGAGTTTTATGTATGTACGGCAGTCTTTGATGCTTCCTGATGTAGGAATTGTACAAATATGTTAGCTTACATTTCACCAGTTTTTAGCAGAAAAATAAAAACATCGTGACAATTGCAGAACTCTAGGGAAACTTCAGCACTGAGTACAAAATCTGCTCTGGGTTAGCCTGTCTTGATCTATGGAACTTTTAATAAACCTAATCCATCACTGTAGCACCTACATAAGGTCATTATTTGTGTACAAGGAAATCACTGTTGTAAGAACAAGCCATTAGAAGCAGAACCCGGAGCAATAATTTGTGAAAGTGAGTCACGGTTACACTTCCAACGTGATTGTAGAGCTGATTCTCTGCCAGCCTATGTCTCTATCAGGTTGCTCCAGCAGACCTTAGGGGCAATAAAATAACTGTATCTAAGTCCTGCATGCATGATATGTTTACATGGGTGTAATTTGCATCAGTTTTTTACACCAATGTAAAGTATGCCTGTGTAGACCGACAACCAGTCATTTAGGGTAGTTGTTTGCATTAGGCCCAATTACAGTGTCTAGCCACTAGGTGGCAGTGGGGTAAAGATGTGTAGATAGCAAATACAGGCTGTCCCCGACTTACAACATTTCGAGTTACAACGTTTTGCACTTACAACGTTTATAAATTGACACCCTGTTTCAACTTTCTGACGTCAGTTTCGACTTTACAATGCTTGATCTGACGCGATGCCACATCAGCGAACAAGTCTGCTGCATCACCCATCTTCCTGGAGAACATCTGTCCAGACTTTCTTGGACACTTTCTTTAAGAAAACAGACTCCAGAAAAACTTGCAGCCAAGACTCCTGAGAAGACTCCAGCCAAGAACCCTTCAAAAAGTCCAGCAAGGTCACATCAAATAAGTCCTTCCAGATCAATATGA